TATTGTAAGAGAATAAAATTTGATAAAAATATCAAAAATATACATAATGCGTTTTAATATCATTGATCTCTGCAAAAATAATAAATGATATAAAATGCAGCAGTTTGGTCTTAAATTTTCTGGACTTTCGTCGAAGTGTACCATCAAAAGGTTCGCAACAACAATTTGCTTTAGTCAATCATCGCACTCAACATTTTCTTGATGCCATATATTTTGTTAGTATGATAACAGAAATTAATATAATTCTGTTAAAGTAAATAAGAATAAAAAATGCATGTGGAATTGTTGTTTATATGGCGGCTTCACACTAGGTAAAAAAAATTGTTGCTAATTTAAAAAAAAGAGCGTATGCTATGAGTTAATAGCTGAAGAAAAAGAGAAATAAATATTAGCAACAACTTTATCTGCCTTGATTAATCAGAGTAAGAATGAATAGAAAGCACAAAAACAATTTCATAATAAATAATAAATGAATCCGTGTGCTTTTTAAGGCATGACTGTACAAACAAAATAACAACGGTATATATCAAATTAATAGCTGTATATAAATATTGTTTTTGTTGTTTTTATTAATGTAAAATTGATGAATTGAATTAGTTTGTCGTTAAATAAATTAATGAGAGGAGTGAAATTTAATACGGTGTTTTAATAAAATCAAATTAAAGAATCTGTGAAATTAAATTTACTTTTATTAATGTTTTAAGAACATGAATAAATTGTAATAGTTCAAGTGGGTGCACATTTTTAATTAAAACATATTTAATTGCTCTAATTTGTTTTAAATGTATTTTCACTCGTTGTCTTATAGTAAAAATTTAGTGCGCTTAAAAATTTATGTATGTATGTAATTTATACTTAAAAAATAATATATTATATGTTTTATTGCAAATACTATATATACTGTACTATTCTTTGTGCATAATTTTAAGTGGTTACATAGATTCGTATGTACCAGTATGAAAAGAGAAAATCTATAACATGAAATAATAAATCAGTTGCGTTTGTTCGATGGACGGCTTAAAAATTACATAACTTCTAAATATATAGAAATACACATTAATTAATATACCTTAAAATACATTTGTATGTATGCCTAACGAAAAGAGTTCATAAAAAATAAAGCAGAGTTAATATACATATGTAACTTTACTATATAAATAAATATATATTTATTTATAATATGAATAAATTGAATAAAATTCATTTCCTATAACAAATAATTGTTTTTAATAAATGTGCATATAACAATAAAAATGTCGACAGAAGTTTTGTTCCCATAAAGCATCGGCAGATAGATTTAAAAAAAGTGCAGAATCGTTACCAGCAACAAGCAATTTCAAGCAAAAGATCAAAGTGAGTTTTCTTTGTTGTTCTTGTTTTTTTGTAAATATTTGATTTGACGTTTGTGTTAAATAAAAAATAGTGATGCCATACAGCACAAATAATTGTTTTAGTTTTAGTGTTAATACTCTTTCTTACTAATTTTATCAAAATTTGAGGAATATTTAAAAATATTTCTTTAATAAAATAAAATTCAAATTTTAGAGTATCTAATTTAAAAAAAAAATAAAGTTGCACTTAAAGGTAAAAATAATATTAAATGTTTTTAAATTAAAATTTTGAAGCATTTTATGAAATAAAGCAAATAATATTTCAAAAAAAAATTTATAATAAGAAAAGAGTTCAGAGTAAAATGGTCGAGAAACCTAAAAAATCATCATAAACACGCTAGTGTTCTTTATCAATGTGAAGTTATCTAATGGAAAGATATTTTTCTTATCAATTGTTGATTATGTTTTTTATTTCTCTTATAAGTTTTAAGTTTTGGTGAAGTCCTTTCTTAAGTTTCGTCCCTCGTAGTAATAAACGACAAACAGAATTTCTTGCAATACCTTTTTCCATTTTAGCAATCTTACTATCTTTTTATGGCTGGAATGAAAGTAAATTATGCCGAAAAATCATTTAAATTGATTTAAAATAACAAATGAAATGTAAATTTAAATACTTCGGGTTATCGAAAAGCAATAAAGTTTCAAGCGACCGAAGTTTTAAATATCAATTCAATTTTATAGTATTTTAATAAAAAGTGAATAAATAAATAAATTAACTCCTAAATAAATAAATGAAAGAATAAATAAGTAACGATGAACGATGGAATAAATAAATAAAAAATTAATTACAATTTGATGGCAATCAAAGAATAACATACGGCACCAAATATTGGAATGTTTGAAGTTTATTAAAATTCTTATTATTCATTCTTTAAATTTTAAGATATTACGGAAGTCAAAGTTAAAATTGAATTATGTTTTAACGAACCTTATATGATTTGGTTTTCGTAGCTACGGTTAGGTGGTCTTTTAAAAAGTCAATGAACTGTTTTTTTTTTTGGGATTGCAGGACGATTTGTTCTAAAGTAATATCTCAAGTATTTCACGAAAAGTATATGATTAAGTTTGCAGATTTATGTCAGTACTTAATAATATTACAAACTAATATTGCACTACAATAATAAATTTTTTTTTTTATATTATGTATTTTAATTAATTGAATTTTTGGCGGATCCAGTATTGCCAAATACTAATCGTGATTGGTTTTGATGTTATTTCATCTATTTACTTTTTTTGTAAATAATTTTTTAAAACCAGGGATTGAATTCATGTCCTGTCAAATTCAAAGCTCAGAGTCCGTGCTCATTAGTTAACTGATCCAAAGCCTTACTTGACTTATAGTTCGCACTTTCACTGATTCACTTCTTATGTTTCAGTAAAATGAAATAAGTAAGAAGTTAGTAAATTTTGTTAATAATTTGAATAATGTTGGAAAAAGTTTATTCAAATTAACATTTATGTCCATATATATTTATGTTACATTGCCTAAATTGCCCATAGCTCAGGTAATTATCTGTGGATTTTTTTCATTGGCACATTGATTGTATATTTCTTAATAAATATTCAATTAATGTTTGCAATTAAAAACCAGAAATAAAGTTACGTTCTATATTTTTACATGGCAAAAGAGTGACTTCTTGATTCATATTTTTGACTAAAACATTTAATTTTCTGTTATAAATTTGTCAATAATATTTTAACAACTGAAACAATTGAAAACCAATGTTAGAAGCAATTGTTGAAGACTTAATTAACTATAATTTGTTATCATTAAACTCAATTGGACGTTTTCACCTCGAAATATGTTGCACACGTAATGCTACTTCGGATAAAAACGATAAAAAAATTTTAATGGTTCATATTATAAAACCTTATCCATGTTTTTTTTAAAGTGATTTCTGAGTTTAGTGGACCAAAACATACAGGAAAATAATTGGATATTAAATGTATTTTTTGTTGTAAACCAGTATTATCATCAAAATATTGAATCTTTTAATAAAAATATATAAATCTAACTTTTTTCATGGGAATTCAATGAAAATTTATTTGTTTGTTTAGGTATAGCATTTCAGTATTTTTATTTAGTCGATAGTTCTCTTTACTTAATATAAATATAAAATAATATAATTTTTCTTTGATACAGAATCTGTACGTAAAAACATACTTTTTCTGGGAATATGATTATAAATTAAAAAAGAATAAATTTTTTATTAAACTCTTAATGTAAGGAAGTCAAAATAATTTAGTAATTTTTTATTATAAACTATATTAGAATTTGAATAATGGTATTTTGCATTTTTAATAAGAAGTTAATCTCTTCGTCTTAAAATATTTCTGCTGCTTAAACTTTCAGTAGAAATTTGTAAGTTACTTATGTAGTATCTTAATTACTGCTGTTATGTTATGCTACCTTTCCAGGTCACTTTTTTATGCTATTTTTTCATTCTAATAATGCGAAGTGGAGTACTGGATAATTAGTTTATGTAAAGTCATTTGGTTGGAATGACATTTAATGTAAAGGAATTAGATATTATCTTCACTTACAATTGCTTATAGTTGTTTGTCATAGAATTTTTTTTAGTTGGAGTCCTTCTTTTGTCTTCACATCACAACGGAACATGATGGAACATGAAATGAATAGAGAGAAATATTATTGTTATATTGTGCATTTCTATAGAAAAATACTATTAAAGTAATTATTATTATATGAAAATTTTAGTTTTTGGTTTTTGCTTCAA